CTCCCTCCTCTCTCCCTCCTTCCTCTGCTCCCTCCCTCTCTCTCTCTTTTAAGTCTTGACCACAGAGCGAGGGAGGCGGGGGTTGGGCACAGAGTTTGGCTCACGTCGCTGCAAAACTTTTTCCTGGTGCTGTGAGGACGGGCACCCCGAGCGCGGCGCCGGGGCTGGCGCTGGAGCGGCCGGGCGCAGGGCGCACTCCGCGCCGGTCACCCGGGGATGAAACCTCCCGGCTCTCCCGGGGACTGACTTCTTTCCTCTCTTTGTGTTTATTGAAACTCCTCCCCGTGGCGTCAGGTTTTCCTGAAGGAAGCTCTTGAGCAGAAGCTGGAGAAGGATCGGGAAGAGGAGTTGAGGAAAGCAGCCATAGTCATCCGAGCCCACGTCTTGGGCTACATGGCAAGGTCAGTGCTGGGGGCTGCCCCACCATCCCTGTGCTTGTGTTCGTGGGTTGCCCCTGCTTTGCTCTCTAGTCCCCTCGCATCGCTCCCTTCTTCCCCCCTGTACTCTAAGGGAGAGCTAGCTGCAGGATTTCCCTCCCTGTCGGCATCAGTTCTGCTGAAACCTTCCTGCACCTTTGTCACCTCTTCTTAAGTTCTGTGCACGCCTGTACCCTCCCTCAAGCGCTGCTCAGCAGACTTCTGCAGGCACCTCCGTACCCATTGCTTGCCTCTGATGACACCTTTTCCTTGCCTTCAAGGCTCTCCTGGCTGGGCCCCACCTACGTTTTTGGTCCCATCCTTTTTCTTCTCCTTGTCAACTGTTCTCTGCTCCCCCTGCAAATCGCTTCTTCCTCAGTTGCAGCTCTGCCTCTGCTCACCCCCTTTCCTCGCCCTGCCCGTTTGCCTCGTGATCTCCCTCTCCTTTTAATTAACTCTTCAGAATTGGTTTTTGGCCAGCTTTGCACCAGTAATCTCCTCTTGCCGCTCCCTTTTGCACCTGACCAGAGGAGGACTGGGAGAACCAACTGCAGACAGACCACCCCTGCTCTGCCCCTCGCAGTGGTGTAGCAGCTGACTCCTTCATGGCTGTGGCATGCACGCTTAATCCCAGTAAGATGCTCTTTCCTGGCTGGTCTCTGCTCCAGACACCTGTCAGTCAGGGGTGTGAGGAGGTGAAATCCCTGGCCAGCAGAGCTGTTCTAGCAGGTGCTCTTTTTAGAGCTCCAGTTACACCAGGTAGCTCATTTTGCATTGGGAAATGTCTGCAGGGGTTGTACCCTGCCTTGCCAATGTGGAATATCGGCAAAATACGCACTTGGTCTCTGGGGCTTTTATTCATTTATTTATTTCCCTCTAGGCAGACAAGTGAGCTAGCTCTATTGTTTGTACATGAGATTTCAAGTTCTTTGTGTCAGGGCCTCTGGTCTATTTTACTTCATGTCTAGCAGTTGGAGAGAGGGGTAGGGATTAGCACAGGAAAATTGATTTTTCTGGGAAACATCACTGCAGGCAAACTGGATTACTGCTTTTCTGAGTTCACAGGGAGGTAGCTGCTGCCCTGCGGGGCTGTGATGGAGACAGCGTTGCAGTAGCATTCCTCTTGGCTAGAAATCTTGTGGTCCTCCAGTCTCCACAGAGCTGAATTCCTCATCCCACATGCTGCTCTTCTGAGTCTCATCTTTAAGAACAAGCTGGGCCTCTGAAATCCTCACAAGCAGCTAGAGGTAACTAGACTTTACAGAAGGGAAGAGCAGGGAATGAGAAAAGAGCTGGAGAGGGAGACTGGAAAATTCTGTGAAGAGTTTCCAGTTGCACTGCACCTGTATTGGAGAAGGTCCAGCAAGAGGGGGAGTTCATCTGGGCAGGTGGTGAATGGTCTGTGCAGAGCGGGGCAGAGGGCCAGAGTACCGGTGTGCACTGCCTTGGTACCATTTCTGTTAGTTTTGCAAGGACAAGTGTATTTAAATTCATTTGGTCTCATGCAAAGTAGGTTGGCGAGGAAGGGTACATACAGCTTGGGAAGGATTTTATTGCCTTCTCTCCGTTTGTGAACTTGTCCTGGGAGCCTGGAGAACCAGTCCTAAAGGTGAGGATGTTTTCTTTGCTCTCATTCCCTGCAGCCTAATAACTCTGACTGATCACTAAAATGTCAGACAAGAAAATGAAGCCCATTCAAATGGCCTCATTTTTTTGTAGCTAATCTGTGGAACTCTGAGCTGCAGGTTCACCAGCTAAAATACACATCACTGTGCCCAGGCTTGCAGGATCCATGTACAAATGTGGCTGTGTCCCTGGGTTCTGCAAGACCTTACTGCTCAGAGTAATTAACTAAATTCCAGTGCAGCACTAGGGCCTTGCAGCCACCCCATCCTCTCTTTTGATACACGGTCAGGATGTCCCCCGACACCCAGGCATAGGCTGCAGGTTGAATTTCTTTGGCCAATGCCAGAGGGTGGATGGAAGGCTGAGCAAAGGGAATGAAATTCATGGCCTGTGTGCAGCAGTTCCAGCTGAAGGGTGTCTGCAAGCCTGGCTGCGGTCGTGAGGAAGGAGGGGGCACTTCAGGCTGGCAGATGAGCAGGCAGAGCCAGCCTGTGGCTGGGCAGGGCTTGGCACATGTTGCACTTGAGAGAGTTTCTGGCAGATGCATTCTGTAAAAGTCAGAGTGCCCTGTTTGATGCACTTATATCTGCCGTGGCAGAGGGTGTGGGTGCAGCTGTTCCACACCCCATGTGCAGGGCACAGGGAGGACGGAGGGAGCAGGGGTGAGGGGACTGCAGCCCAGGAGGAATTAATCTAAAACCTCCCACTTCTTATCACCTCTTCCCTTTCCTCTTCTTTTCTCTGTGCTTCCTCCCTTTGACCTAATACTTACGGAAAAGAGCGTGACCTCTGCACACTACTGCTGTTAGCATACCTCTCTTGATTTTCTTGACTAGGCCGACTTATCTGATGTGCAGGGAGGTGGCAAGCTGTCAGCATGGGTCCCTGTTGCCATTTGAAAGAGGTTTGATTGCCAGGAAGGGGATTTTGAGGTGTGTCTTTTCCTCAGGGGGTTGCAGAAGGTCTGTGGGAAGGATATGTGAGAGTACTGTGCTATTTCCAGCGTGCTTTCTAGGACTGTAAGACCTCACAGGATTACTGTAGCCTGCTGGCCCAAGATCATCCCATATAACAGCCCTGTAGAATTAAACTCTGCAAATTCTGGTTTGGAGTAAAGAAAGTTTTGATTTTAATAGTACCAATGGTCATTCCCC